TCCCCTCGCACAAAACCCCCGCCTCCACTTCTATCCTCGCACAACCCCCCCTCTCACTTCTTCCCCCGCACCCCCTGCCCCCTCACTTTTCCCCCGGGCCCCGCAAACCCCTGCCCCGGCTCCTTCTAACCCCCGCACAAACCCCTGCCTCTCACTTCTTCCCTCGCACAACCCCTGCCCCCTCACTTCTTCCCTGCCCCACCCCTGCCTCTCACTTTATCCTCGCACAAACCCCTGCCTTTTCACTTTTTACCCTCCACACCCCGCCCCCCTCTTTTTACCCCCCCTTTGCCCCCAGCTACCCTCGACCCCCTGCCTCTCACTTCCCACCCTCGCACACCCCTGCCTCTCACTTTTATCCTCGCAAACCCCTGCCTCTCACTTCTTCCCTCGGGACACTCCCCCGCCTCTCACTTCTACCTCGCACACCCCCGCCCCCTCACTTCTTTTCCCCCCACCACACCCCTGCCCCTCACTTCTATCCTCGCACACCCCTGCCCCTTTAAATTTCTTCCCTCGCACCACCCCCCGGGCCCCTACCTTTTATCCTCGCACACCCCTCCTCTCACTTCTAACCCGCAAAACCCCCCTGCCTCCCCACTTCTTCCCCCGCCCCAACTCCCCCGCCTCTCCCCTTTTTCCCACCCCGCACAACCCCTGCCTCTTCCCCTTTTCCCCCCCCCACACCCCCGCCTCTCACTTCTACCCCCGCCAAAACCCCCCGCCTCTCACTTTTTACCCCCCGCACACCCCTGCCTCTCACTTCCCCCCTCGCCCCACCCCTGGGCCCCTCACTTCTATCCTCGCCCAACCCCTTCCTCTCACTTCTTTTCCCCCGCACACCCCTGCCCTCCTTCTTCCCCCCGCCCCAAACCCCTTCCTCTTCACTTCTACCCCCGCACACCCCTGCCTCTCCCTTCTAACCCCCGCACACCCCTTCCTCTCACTTTTTACCCCCCGCACACCCCTGCCTCTCCCCTTATTTTTTTTTTCCCCCCCCACCCCTGGCCCCCTCACCTTTTTCCCTCGCCAAAACCCCCTGCCCTCACTTATCCTCGCCAAAAAAGGCCCCCCCTCTCACTTCTTTCCCCCCGCAAAACCCCCGGGCCCTCACTTCTTTTTTCCCCGCACACCCCCGCCCCTCACTTCAAACCCTCCCCACACCCCCCGGGGCCCCTCACTTCAAACCCCCGGGGACAACCCCCCGCCTCTTCACTTCTACCCCCGCACAGCCCTGCCTCCACTTCCTTTCCCTCGGCCCCCACCCCTGCCTCTCACTTCTACCCCCGCAAAACCCCCCGCCTCTCACTTCCCACCCTGAAAAAACCCCCGCCCTCAACTTCTACCTCCCACACCCCCCGCCTCTCACTTCTTCCCCCGCACACCCCTTGCCTCTCAATTCTACCCCCCCCCACCCCCTTTCCCTCACTTTTCCCCCGCACAACCCCCGCCTCTCACTTTCCCCCGCAAACCCCCGCCCCTCCTTCTACCCCCGCCCCACCCCTGCCTCTTTACTTCTTCCCTTTGCACACCCCTGCCTCTCCTTTTACCCCCGCACAAAACCCCCGCCTCCCCACTTCTACCCCCCGCAACCCCTCCTCTCACTTCTTCCCCCGCACAACCCCCTGCCTCTCACCTAACCCCACAACCCCGACCTCTCACTTCTTCCCCCCGCACACCCCTGGGCCTCCAAATTTTACCCTCGGGAAACCCCCCGCCCTCACTTCTATCCCGCACAACCCTCCTCCACTTTTCTACCCCCGCACACCCCTGGCCCTCTCACTTCCCACCCTCCCCACACACCCTGGGCCCCTTTTACTTTTTCCCTCGCACACCCCCTTCCTCTTCCCCAAAACCCCCCCCGCCACCCCGCCTCTCACCCCCCCTCGCACAAAAATTCCCCCGCCTCTCAAAAACCCCCCCTTTGCACACCCCTGCCCTCCAAAATTCCCCCCTCCACAAAACCCTGCCCCACCCCACCCCCGCACATTCCCTGCCTTCACTTCCCCCCCCCCCCACACCCCGCCTCTCCAAAAACCCCCCCCCACCCTCGGGACACCCTGCCCTCACGGGGCCACCCCCGCACAAAACCCCCCGCCTCTCCACCCACCCTTTGGGACACACCCGCCTCTCACCCCACCCTCCCCACAAACCCCCGCCCCTCACCCCATCCCCACGGGCCCCCCCCTCCCCTTTTACCCCCCACCCCTCTCCCCCTCTTCCCCTTTTACCCCCCCCCACCCCTGCCTCTCACCCCCCCTCGCACACCCTGGGCCCCTCACACCCCCCACCCCGCAAAACCCCTGCCTCTCCCCCAACCCCCCCAAACCCCCTGCCTCTCCAAAACCCCCCCCCCCCGGGACACCCTCCCCGCCTCTCACCCCACCCCCGGGACATACCCCTCTCACACCCCACCCTCGCACAAACCCCCGCCTCCCCCCCACATTCCCCCTTCCCTCCACACCCACCCGGCCCCCTCCCCTTTACCCCACCCCCGGGCCCCCCTGCCTCTCACTTCCCCCCCTCCCCCAACTTCCGCCTCTCACCCACCCCGCACAAACCCCCGCCTCTCACCCCAAACCCCCGCACACCCCTTGCCTCCCCAACCCACCCCGCACACCCCTGCCTCTCACCCAAACCCCCCCACCGCCCTCCCGGGCCCTCACACCCCCCCCCCGGGACAAATCCTGCCTCCACACCCACCCTCCCCCCACACTCCTGCCTCCACACCCACCCTCGCAAAACTCCTGCCTCTCCCCACCCACCCCCCGCCCCCTCCGCCTCTCACACCCAAACCCCGCACACCCGCCTCTCACCCCCACCCTCGCACCCTCCTGCCTTTTCACCAAAAACCCCCCTCGCACACTCCTGGGGCCCCACCCACACCCCCCCTCGCACACTCCCCTCTCAAACCAAACCCCCCCCCACACTCCGCCTCTCACAACCCCCCAACCCGCGCCCCCTGGGCCCCCTCACAACCCACCCTCGCACACTCCTGCCTCTCACACCCCCCCCTCGCACACTCCTGCCTCTCACCCCACCCCGCACTCTTGGGCCCCTCAACCCCAAACCCCCGCCCCACCCCCTGCCTCTCCCCCACCCACCCTCCCCACACTCCTGCCCCCTCCCCACCCACCCTCGCACACTCCTGCCTCTCACACCCACCCTCGCACACTCCTGCCTCTCACACCCACCCTCGCACACTCCTGCCTCTCACACCCACCCTCGCACACTCCTGCCTCTCACTCCCACCCTTCACACATCCCTCCTTGCAGATCTATATGGTCATGATTCACGAAATCGTAATAACACGACTGCAAACAAATCAGGGACCGGTTGGAGCTTGAACCCATGGCGAGTGAGTCATAAAACTCACAGACCAGCTTGTCGAGTGGTTAACGCACTGCTCTGTGAGTTGTGGGGATCACTTGTCATGGGTGCGAACACCACCATTCCCTGGTTTCTTAAACTAATAATAATAATAATAATAATAATAATAATAATAATAATAATAATAATAATAATCAGCCTTCCTAGGAGTCAGCATCCGTCTTCCTCGTCATCTTAAACCTAAGAACAAGCAATGCTATACTTATCATACTTCAATTTATAATTTAAGGAAACAAACGCACACTTATAACAATTCAAACTATAAATCAATGATTTATAATGAATTTTAATATTATTATTGACATTAATGATCCTTGAATATGCACTTCAAGAACACGGGATTATGAATATCGTATAATTAATCAAGTAAATACTCAATTTATGATACCACACATATAAATAATAAATCGCAGTTATTTGTATTGCAATAGTATTGTCCTGACGTCTCCACGATGGTAATAATTAACCAACTGGTCTACCTCTTCCTTGGTGTATATTTGTGATAACTGCAGATGACATGTTATCCTGGATGTGGTTGTCGGTAATCGTCTGATACTTGAAGATTAGTCAGTCTGTTGTGAAGACCCTCTACAATCTTTCGTCTTATATCACTCAATTCACTTTTTGCTTTAGGGATACCTAAGGGATGTTTCCAGGGGGGTCTTTATCCCCGCTGCCAGGTCACCGACCTGGCCTCTTAATGTTGGCCGCACGTAGTCTGTTGTATGAACCAATACCCAGCTGGTCACGAACTGGTCTCATGAACTTGCCAAGCTCTCTCTTCAAGGTAGCCCGAAGTTTTATCGTAATTCCCATTATGCAAGAAGGGCGTTGAAAAGTCGGGACCCCCTGACACTTATCAAGTTCTCTTTTAAGTGTACTTGTCGTGATCTTTATTTTCTATTGGATGTGCTCTGCACCGTCTGCCAAGTCTCTTGTTTTCATATGGAGCGATTTCAATGAGCAAGTCTGGGACTTGATGTACCTTTCTCGCCTATATTCCAAGGAATACAGTTGAAGACACGTGTTCCCAGTAGTTCAGAGGGCCGTTAATTTACAGGAGTTTTTCATGAATGGTATACAGAAACCGACAAGGTGAAGGATTACATCTGAGTAACTTTATCTGTAGACTTTTTCGCCAACAAATGACTTTATCAAGGGCATAATGTGAAGACTGTAGAATTATATACAAAAGATGAGGTAATCAGTCCACCCAGCTTTGAAGTTGGTGAAGATCACCGATGTCTTGAGGAATCTGAAGCAGAGGCACGAAGCTTGGTGCTTACTTTACTGGCGTCCAGAAAAACGTGCAGCAGAAGGTATTGTCAGTGGTAGGCGGGATTTCCCAGTGGAAGTGGGTGATACCCGAGGGTAGCCAGGAGCAAGCAAAAAGGGTTTTGTGGAGAGTTCTCTGCATCAAGATTCCATGCTACTGCAGTGTTTGACACGTTCTACATGAATAGTACACAATACCGACAAGATAAAAAATTACACACTTGTGCAACATCGGGGTATCTTTATTTGTAAATGTTTCGACAATCAGTAACTTTATCAATACAGTATAAAAGGACATAACGTGAAGAATGTAGAATTTTATACAAAAGATGCGTCTAACTCTTCCTCAGCAGTATTTCAGCCTGCAGAGAACAAGTGACAAGTGTCATCACTAGCTCAATGTCTCTTGTATTGAAATGTTTTATTCCAGCGGCAGCAATAGCTGATGTGATCCCAGAATGCGAGATCTCCTGATCAAATCACAGAATGGTAAGATTCACCCACACATGGTGGGTGAATCTTAAAACTCTCAGTCTTCAGTGTAAGTGTGAACCTAGTGTTCAGTGTTAGTGTGAACCTAGTGTTCAGTGTTAGTGTGAACCTAGTGTTCAGTGTTAGTGTGAACCTAGGTTCAGTGTTAGTGTGAACTAGTGTTCAGTGTTAGTGTGAACCTAGTGTTCAGTGTTAGGTGAACCTAGTGTTCAGTGTAAGTTGAGAACCTAGTGTTCAGTGTTAGTGTGAACCTAGTGTTCAGTGTTAGTGTGAACCTAGTGTTCAGTGTAAGTGTGAACCTAGTGTTCAGTGTAAGTGTGAACCTAGTGTTCAGTGTTAGTGTGAACCTAGTGTTCAGTGTTAGTGTGAACCTAGTTGTTCAGTGTTAGTGTGAACCTAGTGTTCAGTTTTTAGTGTGAACCTAGTGTTCAGTGTTAGTGTAAAACCTAGTGTTCAGTTGTAAGTGTGAACCTAGTGTTTAGTGTAAGTGTGAACCTAGTGTTCAGTGTAAGTGTGAACCTAGTGTTCAGTGTTAGTGTGAACCTAGTGTTCAGTGTAATTGTGAACCTAGCCTTTTTTCTCTCTCTCTCTCTCTCTCTCTCTCTCCTCTTCTCCTCCTCTCTCTCTCTCTCTCTCTAACTTTCTAGAGAACTCTCCTTCAAGACGGAACTTTGGGAATTATCTTCCTTGAAACTTCTCCTTTGCCTCCCAAGAAGCTGCAGTTGCAGGAACTAGACGAGTTCCGGTAGCTGCAAGATCCCAGAAATATATTCAGCGTATCCCATAAATCCAGCTGTGTGTACCTCAGTGCACGCAACAGACCCAGTAGCTATAACTTAGAAATCCTTAAGAAGCTGAGAAACAAGACCAACTTTCTTAAAGAGAATAAGAGGCATAGCTCAATCCTCCTATGATGTCCAGCTGGGAAGCAACAGCTTAAGGAGGCCCAAGAGCTTAACATCAACACTAATGCATTTAATATTTTATTATTGTTGATTTTTACATCACAATGTTATGTGTGAACCTATAAGGTAACACACTCGAAAAGACCAGGAGCCAGAGAACACTCTTAGGTGGGGCCAGGAACTGAAGCTCAACCCAGCGCAACACTAAAAATATTTATGCAGAAACACAAAGAAAATCTAAGTAGCGACACTATACATAGTCCAGTCTATATGTATACATGTTTAGTGGACCGTAACACCTTGAAAAACATCACACATCAGTGACAACACTGTCATCACAACACCAGTGACAACACTGTCATCACAACACCAGTGACAACACTGTCATCACAACACCAGTGACAACACTATCATCACAACACCAGTGACAACACTGTCATCACAACACCAGTGACAACACTGTCATCACAACACCAGTGACAACACTATCATCACAACACCAGTGACAACACTGTCATCACAACACCAGTGACAACACTATCATCACAACACCAGTGACAACACTGTCATCACAACACCAGTGACAACACTGTCATCACAACACCAGTGACAACACTATCATCACAACACCAGTTTACAACACTGTCATCACAAAACCAGTGACAAACACTGTCATCACAACACCAGTGACAACACTATCATCACAACACCAGGGGACAACACTGTCATCACAACACCAGTGACAACACTGTCATCACAACACCAGTGACAACACTATCATCACAACACCAGTGACAACACTGTCATCACAACACCAGTGACAACACTAAACATCACAACACCAGTGACAACACTATCATCACAAACCAGTGACAAACACTGTCATCACAAACACCAGTGACAACACTGTCACACAACACCAGTGACAACACTATCATCACAACACCAGTGGGCAACACTGTCATCACAACACCAGTGACAACACTGTCATCACAACACCAGTGACAACACTGTCATCACAACACCAGTGACAACACTATCATCACAACACCAGTGACAACACTGTCATCACAACACCAGTGACAACACTGTCATCACAACACCAGTGACAACACTGTCATCACAACACCAGTAACAACACTGTCATCACAACACCAGTGACAACACTGTCATCACAACACCAGTGACAACACTATCATCACAACACCAGTGACAACACTGTCATCACAACACCAGTAACAACACTTATCACAACACCAGTGACAACACTATCATCACAACACCAGTATCAACACTATCATCACAAACCAATAACAACACTATTACAAACCAATAATAACACTATCATCAGAACACCAAAACAACACTATCATCACAATACCAGTAACACTATCATCACAACACCAGTAACAATACTATCATCACAACACCAGTAACAACACTAAACATCACAATACCAGTAACACTATCATCACAACACCCGTAACAATACTATCATCACAACACCAGTAACAACACTATCATCACAATACCAGTAACACTATCATCACAACACCAGTAACAATACTATCATCACAACACCAGTAACAACACTATCATCACAATACCATAACACTATCATCACAACACCAGTAACAAAACTATCATCACAACACCAGTAACAACACTATCATCACAATACCAGTAACACTATCATCACAACACCAGTAACAATACTATCAAACACAACACCAGTAACAACACTATCATTACAACACCAGTAACACTATAATACCAGTAACACTATCATCACAACACCAGTAACAATACTATCATCACAACACCAGTAACAACACTATCATTACAACACCAGTAACACTATAATACCAGTAACAACACTATCATCACAACACCAGTAACAACACTATCATCACAACACCAGCAACAGCACTATCATCACAACACCAGTGACAACACTACATCACAACACCAGTAAAAACTATAATACCAGTAACAACACTATCATCACAACACCAGTAACAACACTATCATCACAACACCAGTGACAATCCCATCATCACAACACCAGTAGCAACACTATCATGAAAACACCAGTAACAACACTATCATCACAACACCAGTAAAAACTATAACACCAGTAACAACACTATCATCACAACACCAGTTTAAAAACACTATCATGAGAACATCAGTAACAGCACTAAACATCACAACACCCGTAACAACACTATCATCACAACACCCGTAACAACACTATCATCACAACACCCGTAACAACACCCATCATCACAACACCAGTAACATTATCATCACACCAGTAACACTATCATCACAACACCAGTAAACAACACTATCATGAGAACATCAGTAACAGCAAATATCATCACAACACCAGTAAAAAACACAATCATCACAACACCCGTAACAGCACTATCATCACAAAAACCCGTAAAAACACTATCATCACAACACCAGTAACAACACTATCATCACAACACCCGTAACAACACTATCATCACAAACACCAGTAACATTATCATCACAACACCAGTAAAAACTTATCATCACAACACCAGTAACAACAAATATCATGAGAACATCAGTAACAGCACTATCATCACAACACCAGTAACAACACTATCATCACAACACCAGTAACAAAACCCATCATCACAACACCAGTAACAAACAAAAAAATCATTTTTTTTACAACACCATAACAACACTAATCAACAAACACCAGTAACAAAAACTATTTATCACACACCAGTTTAAAAACACTATCATGACAACACCAGTAACAACACTATCATCACAACACCAGTAACACTATAACACCAGTAACAACACTATCACAACACCAGTAACAACACTATCATCACAACACCATAACAACACTAAACATCACAACACCAGTAACAACACTAAACATCACAACACTATCATCCCCAACACCATAACAACCAATCATCACAACACCAGTAACAAACACATCATCACAACACCAGTAACAACACTACATGACAACACCAGAACAACACTATCATCACAACACCAGTAACAACACTATCACAACACTATCATCACAACACTATCATCACAACACCAGTAACACACTATCATCACAACACCAGTAACACTATCATCACAACACCAGTAACAACACTACCATGACAAAAACCAGTAACAACACAATTTTCACAACACCAGTAACAACACTATCATCACAACACTATCATCACAACACCAGTAACAACACTATCATCACAACACCAGTAACAACACTATCATCACAACACCAGTAACACTATCATCACAACACCAGTAACAACACTATCATCACAACACCAGTAACAACACTATCATCACTACACCAGTAACAACACTATCATCACAACACCAGTAACAACACTATCATCACAACACCAGTAACAACACTATCATGACAACACCAGTAACAACACTATCATCACAACACCAGTAACACTATCATCACAACACCAGTAACACTATCATCACAACACTATCATCACAACACTATCATCACAACACTATCATCACAACACTATCATCACAACACATCATCACAACACCAGTAACACTATCATCACAACACCAGTAACAACACTATCATCACAACACCATAACAACACTATCATCACAAAACCATAACAACACTATCATCACAACACCAGTAACACTGTCATGACAACAACAGTAACAACACTATCATCACAACACCATAACAACACTAAACATCACAACACCAGTAACACTATCATCACAACACCAGTAACAACACTATCATCACAACACCATAACACTATCATGACAACACCAGTAACAACACTATCATCACAACACCAGTAACACTATCATCACAACACCAGTAACAACACTATCATCACAACACCAGTAACAACACTATCATCACAACACCAGTAACACTATCACAACACCAGTAACAACACTATCATCACAACACCAGTTTAAAACTATCATCACAACACCATAAAACTATCATCAAAAACACCAGTAACAACACTATCATCACAACACCATAACAACACTAA